GGCCGTGCAATAGGGTGTGTGTGCAAGGGGCCGTGCAGCGTGGGGTACGTGCAAGGGGCCATGCAATGCGGGGTGCATGTGCGAGGGGCCGTGCAATGGGGTGTGTGTGCAAGGAGTCGTGCAATGTGGGGTGCATGCAAGGGGCCATGCAATGGGGTGTGTGTGCAAGGGGCTGTGCAATGTGGGGTGCATGTGCGAGGGGCCGTGCAATGGGGTGTGTGTGCGAGGGGCTGTGCAATGGCTGCCTGAACAAGGGCCCGTGCAGTGGGTGCACGTGAAAAGCGCCTGTGTAATGGGTGCGTGTGATTGGCTCTGGGGTAGATGCTCGGCTGCCCATGCAAGCCAGACCGACCTGTGCGAGCAGGGTGCCCTGTGCACACTCGTGCAAGCAGGGTGCCCCGTGCAAGCAGGGTGCCCCGTGCACGCCGGCTCCAGCCCACACCAGCTCCCTGGTACCTGCCAGGGTGAACATTTTCGGTGCCAACGGGGGGATTTCACCCCTGGGGGGCGAACGAGGCTGTTGCAAAGAGTGGGTGCGCGAGGGAGCAGGGCTGGGCCAGCACCCATGGGTGCTCCTCGGCCTTGGCGCTGCTGCCTCCTCCTCCCAGCAGAAGAGGGAGAGACAGAGGCCGGGCTCAGGGCCGGCGGTTTGGCTGGAGGCACGGGTGGACGGAGGGACAGATGGATGGCTGCATGCACGGACGGATGGAGGGACGGATGGATGCATGCGTGCATGGATGGATGGAGGGACGGATGGATGCATGCGTGCATGGATGGATGGAGGGACGGATGGATGCATGCGTGCATGGATGGATGGAGGGACGGATGGATGCATGCGTGCATGGATGGATGGAGGGACGGATGGATGCATGCGTGCATGGATGGATGGAGGGACGGATGGATGCATGCGTGCATGGATGGATGGAGGGACGGATGGATGCATGCGTGCATGGATGGATGGAGGGACGGATGGATGCATGCGTGCATGGATGGATGGAGGGACGGATGGATGCATGCGTGCATGGATGGATGGAGGGACGGATGGATGCATGCGTGCATGGATGGATGGAGGGACGGATGGATGCATGCGTGCATGGATGGATGGAGGGACGGATGGATGCATGCGTGCATGGATGGATGGAGGGACGGATGGATGCATGCGTGCATGGATGGATGGAGGGACGGATGGATGCATGCGTGCATGGATGGATGGAGGGACGGATGGATGCATGCGTGCATGGATGGATGGAGGGACGGATGGATGCATGCGTGCATGGATGGATGGAGGGACGGATGGATGCATGCGTGCATGGATGGATGGAGGGACGGATGGATGCATGCGTGCATGGATGGATGGAGGGACGGATGGATGCATGCGTGCATGGATGGATGGAGGGACGGATGGATGCATGCGTGCATGGATGGATGGAGGGACGGATGGATGCATGCGTGCATGGATGGATGGAGGGACGGATGGATGCATGCGTGCATGGACGGATGGAGGGACAGCTGCACAGATGGACGGATGCATGGACGGACGGATGGAGGGACGGATGGATGGATGCGTGCACGGACGGATGGAGGGACGGATGGATGCATGCGTGCATGGACGGATGCACAGATGGACAGATGCATGCATGGACGGATGGAGGGACGGATGGATGCATGCATGCATGGACGGATGGAGGGACGGATGGATGCATGCATGCATGGACGGATGGAGGGACGGATGGATGCATGCATGCATGGACGGATGGAGGGACGGATGGATGCACGGACGGAC